AAAAAAACCCAAATAAGAAATCACCCAAAACAGAAACCTGTGAATTCTCAGCCCTCCTCAATGGCAGCTTACTAAAACTGGAGAAAGACTTTTTCAGCTCCTTCAAAACGTAGCACTTTTCTTTAAAGAAACCCTGTAAGTTACTGAAATCTTGTAGGTATGTGTAGAAACTGCATGTTGTAGGAAAGGAAAAGGTCCAGGCATGACTCTTGACCTCTTGCAAGACCTCTTGAAGCAGGAGTTAGAACTTCTAGGAATGTCCCTCAGCTTCAGCTTGTGAATTTTATGTGAATCAAATGTAAAATATCTTAGGAGTCAGCCTTCTCTCAAACACATTGCTATGCTTCTGGCAGCCTTTCTTCCTCAGCCTAAAACAGTAACAGGGTAGACAACATTATACCACGTTGAAGGGAGGGAGGACTGTTACCCAAACAAGAATATTTCTACAAAAACCCTTGAAACAATTGCACAAATATGCTCTGCAGAATGGCAGATGGAGTTCAATGTCCTGGGAAGGGATGGGGCTTGGAGTGAATACTCAGATTCCTGAGTATTTGCATAAAACAGGATGTCAGAATTTTTAGACTGAAGATGGTTGTGACTCAGGGAGTTTGTGCTCAGCTCTGGTGGTCATTTGCAATTACTAGTGTGAAAAGACTTAATGCAAATTAACAAAAAGAACATGCTGCTGTGGCTGTGCATCACTTTCTCTGCTATAATTAATGTTTACTTTGAGGAGTCATTTGTTACTGCTCTTTGCAGGTTTGGACTGTGAAGTGTTTCTTTCAGTTCCCCTCTTTCCCCATGCTTCCATGTTCTGTGTATTTGAGTGATAGCCATTACCACTCCCAGTTACTAGCATGGAATACTTAGGCAGAGGTTTCACTGAGGAGCCCTCACCACAAGGACGTTTTGCTCTGCTCTGAACAGCTGTTGTTTCCTATCCAGCACTGATGACATTAAATTTGCTTGTTCTCACGTTTTAAGCCATCAGTTTTTCAGGTGTAGTGTAGGTCATTAAGGCTGCCTGAGTGGGGAAAACCACTTTCTGTGATCTCTTTGATACTGCAGGTGCCAGGCTAAAGACTTGAGCTCTGTCTCTGGCAGAGTGGTGCAGAAGGAGCTGGGCCTGGAAGCAGCCAAAGCTCTGCTTTGTGGTTTAGCCAGGGAAAAGGAAACAGCTGAATTTTCCATCGTGCTGCTGCTGTCTGATGACAGATGCCTTGAGCACAAGCTGGGCCTGGAATGGCTCCAGAGCTGAAACTCGAAATGGGAGATCTCCACCCATATCTTTCTGGCATGTTTGTTTTGTGTTTCTTCCTGGAGCTGTGGCTCCTGAGGCAGATTAGGCTGATTTTCCTCTGCAGTAGCAGCCAGAGGGGACGTTCTGCCCTGTCTCCCCACTATCCCACCAGCTCCCTCCATCCACAGCCATGCAACCACTTCAAAGATATATTTACAAGCCAGAGGAAGCATATCAGAAAGTCTAAATAAAAGGGGACACACAGTAAAAATACTCAGAAGATGGGAGGAAAAAGCAATGATTGCAAATGATGCCATCTCCCTTTAATTGTGACTCAGGTCTCTGCTGTACTGACTTAATACTCCAGTACTATTTAGACAACCTGGCAACTCTCTAATAAAAGTGTATTTTATGAACCTTCACCTCTAAGCACTTCTGCCTTGAGTAAGAATTTCTCTCTGTAACTGGAGCTCAGGTATTTTCCCATGTGATATCATGCCTTCCAGCAGTTTATTTAGGAAAACTTGCTGGCATGATCCCCTGCTCTATAAAAAATACAGACCTTTTGTTTGTGTTCTATGCCGGGCGGTGATAGGTCTCATCCCACTCTATTAGAGCAGGAGGACTAGTATATTAGTACTGGCAGAGGTAATGTTTTGCAATGAGCTCTTCTTTTATACCTTGAAGAGAGATTTTTTGCTCTGTGCCATGGGAGAGAACTGTAGTGTGCCAGAGTTGAAAAGAAAAACCTGTAGCTGTTGGTTTTCAAGTAAGAGGCATTGGAAAATTTTGTCCTGGGAGTATGGTGAATCCTGCTCACTGAAGGAGAATAGAATAGAATAGAATAGAATAGAATAGAATAGAATAGAATAGAATAGAATAGAATAGAATAGAATAGAATAGAATAGAATAGAACAGCCTTAGAGGGAGAGCTTCAAACTTTCTGCTGTGGGTTTGGTATTGTTGGGGGACTTTTAAGTCTTGTCATCAGATTTTTTTCTGCTATCTCTCCCTTACCCAGCAGCTCTGGAAAAGTACCCATGAACAAAAAATTGAAGCATTTAAAAAACTGTGATGAACAAAACAAGTCAGAGGATAAGGAAAAAGGCTCTGGCTTCCCTGTAATCATGGCTGAAGTTACATCTGATCATATTTGTTTCAGTGAGTGGTGGGAACATCATCCTATAATTGGGGTCCTGATCAAATTGGTCATTGGACATCTATAGGTGGCTAATGAAGGTGATCACCCTGTAATTAGTCTGTGTGCCTTTCCTTTATGTACATATTTGAAATATAATGCGCATCACCTTCAGTCACGTTCCTCCCTGTGGTGAGGGTGGGGATCTCTGCTCTTGCAGCCATGTGTTTCTGACAATCCAGTTGGTGAGGCATGTTAGGACTCTCTTCTTGGCTTGCTATCTGGCACAGGAAAAACTTTTTTTTTTTAAATTCAGAAGGTTATTTGTGTCCTTCTGTCGTATCTTAGAGTTTATTTTGAAATTTATGAAACCTATAAGACAGACCCCTCTCCACTTGGAAGCACCAGTATCCCTCTTATATCACGTCGGGGTCACCATTGGTTGTAGGAAGGGGACCAGGACACCAGGTTGTTCATCACAGTCCAATTTATTGAAGAAAGCATCAAACACTTATACAGCAAATAATAAGCCTATGAATATTCTGTAAGCCAAGCAATCTATTGGTTAAACTATGCCATGAACTCTTCCTCATTCCTTAGGGGTTACATCTCTCTTTTCTCATGTCTCTTTCACTATTTGTTATCCTACTACAGCTAGGCCCAAGGACACACTATCTTTTCAGGTGCAGGAGCTGGAATTAGCCACGGTTTTGTACTTTTCCAGTCTTTAGCCAGCCAAACTCCCAACAGCAGAGCACATAGATACCAGAAGGGAGGAGATTAATCTGCACCTCAGAACAAGAGAACTCCTTCAAAGATAGTTGCAGGTTAATATAGTTTAACTTCTTGTTACCAACTACTGTAAGCATCGGAGGGAGAGGGGAACAGGCAAAAATTTGGGAACTAGCAAGTCATTCTAAAAAGTTATCCCACTTGAACACACTTTGAGACACAACACTCACACAGGTTGAGGCCCTGTTTTAGCAGTTACACTCAAGAAACATTGTCTTTCACTCCATTGTATAGGCATTTTAATGGTGTCTGTGACCACAGTGATGTTTCACAGCAATTTTTATTTGTATGGTATTCAGTGGCTATGAACAGATAAATACAATGATAATTTCATGTAGAGTTTTCTTTGTCAAGTGTTGGTTATATATCACATTAATTTAGACCTGAACTACAAGAAAATGCATTTTGAGATATCGTTTTAAAAAACCCAACTAAGTTACAGTGAACAGGGAGTATTTACAGTGGAAACTGTAAGACACAAAACATGTTGCTTAGCCAGAAAAGCAGGAGTTGCCTCATGAAACACTTGCACAGGTGTGAAAGGTAAATTTAGGATAGGTTTTTCAAAGCATCAAAGTCACCTTTTTAAACTTGGCAGTGACTAATGTTCTCTTAATTCTCCTGCCTGTATATAAAAACATAAGCCTTGGTTCCCAGTTCCCTCCATAAGTTAACATCCACAAGTTCCTGTGAGCATCAGTGCTTCCTTGCTCCTTATCAACATTTGAAACCAAAGCATACAAAAAATGAATACAGTATTGAACAATGACCAAAAGTAAATTAAGTTTTCTAGTACTGACATTGCTTTTCCTCTCCAAAGAAGATAACTTTGATAAATCCATCATTATGTGGTAGAAGTATTAAAAAATAAAAAAAGAGGAAGAAAACCAGTTGCCATGGCCTAATTACCTTTGCTTGATAAAACCATAAATATTACATCCTAAATTAATATAGCTAACCATTTAATCCTTATTTCACCTTTGGGAAATTTATGGATCCTAATATAAATTATGCAATAAGGTACATAAGGTTGAGAAATTAACTCTTAGTTTTGTAAAGGGAAATTACTAAAAAAATTCAGAGAATATTTGCTACAGTAAATACCATTAGTGATTGTACCACAAATTGATGCCTTTGGGAGTCACTGCCTGCTCACAGCACAGCTGCTCTTCTACTGTTTCCTGGGATCACATTCATTTTAACAGATCACAGTGGCCCTGAAATGTGAGTGAATGTCTGCGTGACCTCAGGTCTGAGCTGCTGGAAGTTTCTGTTCCAGAGCTCAGAAGATGAACGCAAGTGGGGACTTATTTAGTCCTCTTGAGCCATCAAGTGTGCAGTTGCAGAGTTTTTTCCACGACAGTGTCACTTTCAGCTTTACAGCAGCCCATTTTCTAAGATCCTTTCCTCATCCTCAGGGAAGGTTTTGTTTTGTGCAGCATTGCTTTGGAGGAACACCATCAAGGGTGGAGAAAGCAGAGGAACACAACAAAGCTTCCCGGTACTACTGATGCAGTGCCGAGGGTCTGATGTGCTTCAGTGGTTTGTACTGCACATGAAAACCTGTGTTTGTGAGCATGGAGGTGAGAGCCAACAAATGACTGAACAGGAAAACATTGAGCCTTGCTAATTGCTCTACTGCTGTAAACAAAACTCTCACAGAAACTAACTATGAGAGCGTGTTCCGTTGCTTTGCTGTTCATTTCTGTGGCACCTGAATGTGTTTATTTCACTGAAACCCAGGAGCAGCGATAGTCCCGCTCCTCCAAAAACAAACAAAAAAAGGCAATACTCGGCGACAGAGGAGCCATATGTTCTGGTAAGACAGGCATTAATGCCCATTTTAATATTTTTTTTAATAGAAAACCTGTTTCAGTTATAAGAAGAACGACGCGGAGGAGGAGTGCCAGCAGCACCTGTAAACCAAGGGCGGTGCTCTGGGCATGGTGGGGTGAGGGCAGCAGCGCATCGCCGCCGCCGGGGACCGCCCGAGCCGCGGGACGGAGGGAGCGGCACAGCCCAACCCGGCACGGCCCGGCCCCTCCGGCGGCGGGCGGGAAGGGGCCGGGGGAAGGCGCACACAGCGCCCCGGCCGCCGGCGGAGCCGCCCTCTCTCCCTGCGCTCGGGCTCGCCCACGCCCAGCGCGGCACGGCGCTGCCCGGCCCGAGGCTCAGGCCGCAGGGGCGGGAGCCCGCCGGGGCAGGAGGAGGCGGAGGTGCGGGACCATGCTGGCCGGGCTGGGCAGGGCGCTGCGCAGCGGCAGGCGGCAGCTCCCGGGGCTGCTGGGCTGGCGGGATGGCTGCCCGCCGCCCTCGGCGCCTCAGGTAAGACGGGGAGCCGGCGAGGATTCCCGCGGGACGGTGGCAGGAAGAGGCGGAATTGCCCCTCACGGCTGCTGGCGCCTCGCCCGCCTCTGCCCCGGGGTGCGGCGGGGGCGCAGGGGGACGGAGCTTAGGGCAGGTGCTCCCCCGGCCGGGCTGGGGCCCCTCAGGCTGCGTGGCTCCGGCGCTCCCCTCGCTCGCCCCGGGCCGTGCCCAGCGGGGCGCGGTGACTCACGGGCGGCAGGCGCCGGGGGCTCTGCCCCGGGTGACTCACGAGCTGGCTGCTCTGTAAACAGCGAGGAGTAAAACGCCAGTGCACAAAAAGTTTCTCTTGCGGGCTGTCGCGGTGCTGCTGCTTCTGCCCTGAACGTGAAGTGCTGAAGTCCTCCTGCCTTGAGCTTCTCCGGGCTTTCGGAAGTCCCAGAGGTTCTGTGATTAGGAACAATACAGGCAAACAGACGCACGATGGATTTAAAGATCTGCTGGCGCGTAGGACAGTGTGGTATTAAGAGTCCTGAGCGACTCCTAATTGCTGGGAGAGGAGGCAGGTCAGTCCTTTTTTTCAAGTTCTGAACAATAGATACGCCGTGTATGCCTGGAGATACTGCTGTGGTGGAGCAGGACAGAGCCCGTCCCCGTGTCCGGGGCCCTCCCACCCAAGGAAGTTGCTGGGGTGTGTGCGGTGACAGAAGGAAGTCCAGGGCGATCTGGCGCTTCTTACTGAGCAGCTTCCATAGCCCGTGTCTCGAAACCTGCGGCAGTGGGTGGAGTGGAGTTGCACGAAATGAACTTTCTACTTTTCCCCAGTATTTTTTTTTCTCAAACTATTCGAAAAGCCTATTAAAAAATTCCATTGCATTAATTCGCCCCTCATCCCTTAATGCGAATAGCCCTTCTTTGCCTTCTCATGGCTGTATACGAGGACATCTAAGTAGGGAATTTAAGATAAATATTGACTTAGCCTCCTTTATCTTCTGAGGTCTTAGCAGGGGGTGCTGCAAATACCTTTTACCTCGCTGAGAGCGTTTGCATTGTCATTCAGCTCACACTGACACCACCTATTCAGTTTGCCACCTCTGACTTCTCCAGGGTACTGCGTGGCAGACAAGCTTCGTGCTTTTCTAAGGCTCTAAATCTAGACTGAAAGCTGATAAAGCTCTGAGAAGAGACACCAAAAATGAGAGGAGAAGGAGGAGGTGGAGGAGGAAAAGCTCTTACTTTGGCACCACTGTCATAATCAGAAAGAGCAAAAAATGATCGTGTCTGTTACTTTGTGGGATGGAACGACGGTGACATGCATCGGGAATTAAATTCCTGCATCAAATAGGTGAAGCAGAGAGATGCTGTAATGATGAGGAAAAATCTAATTGGGAAAAGTGTTTAATACAAGATTTGGTTTATTTAATAAGTGGAAATTTTTGGGACAAATTCATATACAGTACTTTTTATGGTCTCTACAGCTTGTTTGATGCTGTGTTTGGTGATGGGAATCAAGTCTGCCCTTGTGCCTTTTGGGGCCTTGACTGGATTTTCCACTCGTAAAGCTGGAGGTGGCATTTCAGTGGCTACCCCAGGTTGTAGGATGTGCACTTGGTCATCACATACTGCAAGTACTCAGGTGTTGATGGGCAGGTGTGTGAATGCACAGTGTGTTTGTGTGCTGTGGTTTTGGCTAATAAATGTACAGCTGTGGGGATAAATGCACCATTATTGCTAATTCAATGTAATTTTTTTCAGGTTTGCAGGATTACAGCAGGGATTGCTGTCCTAAGGAGCTGTATCCTTAATCATTAGCTTTTCAGCTCCACTTTTAAACAAGAACTACAGCTCTTCCTAAAGCTGTCATTAGCTGCTTTGCCTTTCAGAGGGATACTTATACAAATTCTGCATTTTGTAAGATTGAGGGTTTTTGTTAGGTGGGTCTTTCTGTATTTAAAATGGTTAGTTGTTAGACAGACTCGAGCTGCCTGAGATGTCCTGGGATTGGTGCTTTGACAAGAATGTGGGAGAAATCTGGACAGCAGGCTATGTGCAAAAGAGAAAAGGGCTTAGCAGCATAGGCAGTTTTTCAAAATAATTGAAGCATATTATATTGTATTCTTTGGCCAGGCATTCTTATTACACATAATTTCATTCCCCAAAGGCTGCAGTTCATTTTGCTGGAGTCCCAGATTTGTAATTCTGCAGTTATTTTGCATGTGGTAAAACCTAAAGGTTGCCAACTCTTTTGCTTCCTCTTGACTTGCATGTTTTAACTCCTGCAGCTCATGCTGAAAGAAATGCCCTGCTTGCAGTGTTCTCTGTGAGGAACATCTCCCCTTGCCATATCTCAGTGGAGAATGCATTTGTTAACACAGAATCAAGGTTTTTAATTGCTGGGGGTTTTGTTGTTTGTTTGGGGTGGTTTTTTGTGGGTTTTTTTTGGTTTTTGTTTTTTTTTTTTTAATTCATAAATCTTTTAAGCCAGGAAACATTGAAGGGACTGGATTTAATTTATTTTTTTTCAGATCGTCCTGGTTAATTTCTCCATAGTGCTGAATCCTTCTGGTCTAAAATTGTGTTTCTTTTTATGGCCATTCACGTAAGTGAAATTTCTAGTTTAGTCTCTGCTATGGAGATCTCTACCAGCATGCCTGCATTGCTCAGGATGGGTGGCAACAATGGAAAATGAAGAAGTCTGGGTTAGAGGGTTTTTCTTAGCTTAAAACCTGGTTTCTTTGCAGTCACACAGCCCTGTGTCTTGCTAAAACTGTTTGTATCCTGTGTGAATGTGCTGGAATTGTGACATTTCCTCTGCAAAAGGCAGCGCTTGCTTTGAGCAAATATTAGTGAGGGAAGTAAAATGGCAAAATTTGAATTGTTTTCAAAATGTACCTTTATTTAGCATCATTAATTCAGAATACATTCCATTTCTATGCACAACATTGTCTTAAAACTGTGCCTCTGGAATATATTGGCAAGGGGAAAGATCGTGTGTAAGCTGGCAAGAGCAAATTGCAAAGGTTTCTGTGAAAAATATTATGGATTTATTTTCTTCCTTGATTGGGATATTGCATATGCTTGTTGCTGAGGGAAATTTTCTTCCTAGCTGCAAACTGCAGCCAGTAGGAGAGTCATTGGGTTTATCTGCAGAAAGCAGAGTAGCGAAGGTTTTGTTTTGGGGCTTTTTTTTTTTGGTCAGTTCCCAACATCATCCATATCTGTCAAAAAAAGTTTTTTTCAATGCTTTCAGCTGGTAAATTTTTGACTACCCAGTTCCTCTGACTAGCTTCAACTTTTTTCCTGTCCTTCCTGTTAGTTTTTATAGTAATTCTTACTCTCAATCACCATAATTCTCCTAGCATTACACCTATCCAGTTTGTCTGTCCGTTTTATACAGTCTTATAAGCAAGGATCTGAATGGGTCCTTGATAGCAACAGGATATTCCCATGGAGGTTTTTAATTTTGCCTCTTTCTCTTTTGCATATGACCTACTGCTGGGATTTTTAAGATATTCTGACAGACAGCAACGCCAGGACATCCCAGGCAACTACAGAGAAGCAGATTGTCATTGAATATCATTTGCAGCCAAATATTTCACATAAATGTGGTTTGAGTCCCTACTTTTTATTTTCAGCCCACTCAAGTCCTTTGGAAATTGATATCTAATTGGAGCCAAGAACTGGGAGTAATTTATGGCCGCTGGGCGTGTTTTCCCTTGTCTTTCCTCCGCTTTGAAAGCCTGGCGCAACAAAAGTTAGCTTGTTGATCCAAATCTTCTTTCCTCCTGCTCATACTGGCATATATCAACAAAAACATACAAACTGCAGAGCTGTTTGTTTTTGGAAGCACTGTTCACTCTTTGAAATACTAATTTCTGAATGTCTTAGAAAAACCTATTTAGAAGATCTCTGGTGCTTCTGCTGCAAAAATTTTCCCGTGTCAGCAAGTTCATTTTTTTGGCTTTGGTGTTGTGTCTGTGCCAGAATAGCAGGGTGGCATTGGGAATGGCTGCTAGTCATTTGCTGTTGTCTCTTCTCATCTGGCAGCTGGGAGATGGCTCTATTTTCCCTGATAAATACACTTTTGGGGAGAGATGTGATGTATAGCACAGAAATTAATCTCTCTTTGTACTTTTGCAGATACTCCCATGAAATGTTTTGCTGTGCCTTCTCTCTCCAGTGCAGATGCTGTAGTTACATAGTGGGCTGTGAGATGCTCTTGTGTGTGCACATAAAATTACCTGCAAGACACTCATTCCCTTAGAGGTTTGGGAAATTTCTAAAAACCAGCCTCACTCAGGGTTTGAAACACGCATCAGCAGTGAGACTTCAAATTCTTGGTGTTGTTTTCCAGTGGGGCAATTGACATAAAAGCAGCTAATTGAAATGTGTAGATCAAATCAGCTTTTCTTGCATAGTGTTGCTTTTTTGCCTACTCTGAGTGTCAGCAGATGTGTATCTTTGGTGGTTGTGTGAGTATGGCAGTTCCTAAGGAAAGGAAATGAAAACCAGCTCTGGGAAGGCTGGAAAGAATGTGGTCATTCTCTTCAGCATCACAAGCCTAAGGAAGTTAGAGCTTTTGTGTGCTAAGTCAAGGCTGCGTTGTACTGAAGGAAACGTAAAGAAAACTGAAATGCTGGTCTAACATTATTGTCCATAGCAAAATCTGTGTAATTTTTAAACAGATTTCTTGAAGATCTTTCTCAAGAAAGATCTTGATACAGGAGTGTAGAGTACAAGCTGTGCTTCCCAAAGTTTGGGAAGTACATTACTTCAAATATATTCAACAGGTTTGTTGTAAAGGAAAATGAAAATTTATATGACTTCCTGTTGATAGTGACTTTAAAAAAATATTTAATTTAGAATGGGGATAGAAATAGTCATAAGGTGACCCACCTGTATTGGGTGCTCCATGATTAGTAAAATAGATGACAAAAAATGATGCTGTGATTTCATTTGCAGTGGATGCTGTGATCACACAAAAAGTGCTGTAATTATAAGTTTTTTGTTGAGATGAAGCT